ATAAAAACAATTGCTAGATCATTTTTTAGTTTGATCCCTTGAAGTCCAGTCGATAAAGTGAAATTATAGAAAGGAATGCCATGAGAGAACATGCTGTTCAAATGTCGCTTTGACTGTGAAGTCAAAGAGTAATGTCCCTTCCCACATTTATCTACTTTTTAGGTTTTCGGGACATTACAGATTTGTTTCAGTAGATATGAGTAAAATTCTGTTTCTGTTAAATTGCTGATTAGCCGAGACACGAACCGAGTTGTAAGAAAACCTGCCCAATGATGAAGAATGACTGAGAGTGATCACGTGTCACCTTCTAACATCTAATAACAATGAGGTATTCACTCTACTTTAGTCATACATACTGACAGCTCTCAGATAATATCTGACTTTTCAAGTAAACTACAACTCTTTTTTCAAGTGAAAAAAATAATTGCTATTTAGTTGAATGCTTATTTCAATCACCTACTTTGGAAATTGTGTTTTAATGTCTATATACTTCTCAAAATATGATAAGGGTATTATCAGTGTTAAGTTGCATTCTCATGGATATATACAACTTTGCAGATTTGGATGGACTGTAACATCATCAATGCAAATATCGTATTCAAAATATCAAAAGCGGCGTGTAAATATGGTTTACTTGCACTTTTGTCCTGTCTTTCAATTTCAAAGGCTGAAATGAAAATACAGCGGAGGCAGAGCCTTTATAGACAGAGGCTCCATTTTTGGTCTTGTTGGAGGAAATTTCTTCCAAAACAACATGCTTGATCGCTCAACAAGCCCGCCCCTCAGCACTCTAGCAGGCAAGCTTCCGTTCACGGTCTTGGTGGGCTGCACACGATCTTAGCAAAGCAAACCTTTCTTCACCCTTTGAAACTCTTAGACATTCTCCTATCCACACTTAAACAATGATCTTTTGTACACTGTTCTCTCATTCGTATGAGTGGATGAAAGGATTGAAATAAACTCCTCTTTCTTTCAACAATGGACATGTGACAAAGGCTATTTACATCACAAATTGAGTTCATTTTTGGTGAGAAAACAATGTGTGAAACATACTATTTCTTCAATTGCGATTGTTGTTTGCATTTCGGTACTTTCATAAATTTTTTGGTGAGACTTTTCTGTGTTTATAATATTCAATGACCTGTGTTTAAAGTGATGAAGCATCGATTGTACTTACGTCCTTGCGGATACTTGCGGTATCCTGATCACAACTTGCCATATGTCCGACTCTGACAGTGACAATAGTTTTCAAGTTATCATGGAATTTGAATGTTTCTCAGAGGATGAATTGATGATTTCGGAAGTACAAGTGAACCCCTGCCTGTGACCGACAGTAGTGACAAAACTAATCAGGATGCTCCCCGTCTTGGACGCGTGGATTACAAGTGATTGCAAAACTCAGATTGGTTGGTTTGTTTAGTACATTTCTCCAACTCACAATATCCCATTGTAGTCCTGAAATAGCACCACAAAGATGAGTGAGTGAGTGAGTTAGGTTCAACGACGCTTTTAACAGTATTCCAGTTATATCGCGGCGTGTCAGCTTAATGTGGGAAGAAAGCCCAGAGTGATGCAGGTCTCCGACGTTTACCACTTCGGTGAAACCCACGAGCACGGGTATGGTGCTGACAAACCAAGAAACATAATCGGGGCGAACCTGGATTTGAACCCACAATCATAGGTTTCTGGCGTGCCAAAGGGACGCAACTCTGCACAGCGAATCGCGGCGCCTTAGACGACTTGGCCACCCGTGCCCCCCCACAAAGATGAAGCGACATGTCATAGACTCTGTGAATCCATGACACTTGCTAACATGTTACATTACACTACACATGACTGAGTGTTTTATGATACCTGGACTGACTGTTGGCATACATTATGCAAGAATCTACTACTTAATTATCACTAAGATCAATCCATGTCTATCTTCATAACAGGATGGATTGACGGGGTGGGGATTTGTGGAACCTGCGCCCTTAAAATTGAAAAGGAAAATATCTTACGATGTTAAAATTATGTTATTCATGTTAAATCACGGTTGCTTGACACCCCCCTCACTAGCCATTGTCATGACATACATGCAATCCATGGTAGTATATATACAACACAGGTCTCCCCACAGCTAATGAAACGATCACGTTTATTCTGTCCCCGGCTGGTGGTAATACGCAATCAGCTCGCAGGCCATGCAGGTGTAGTCGGCCGTGCTAATTAAACCATGACTCCTCGTTAGCACTTTTACGATTCGTTTGGGTTGTGGCAAGTACAGACCTCAAAATACATACTTTTAATTGAGGGTAACAGCGCTTACTTTATGTTTTCACACTTTTTTTCTCGGACATCGTATTGTACATCATACTGTCTACAATGACGTAAGGAAAATGACACTTGTACTTTAAGCTTCAGTCATAATAAACAAAAGTAAGCATTTATATAGAGTGTTGTCTCTCAAAGTTTGAGGTGGTACACTTTCCTTATCATAAGTTGAGCAGTATATACTAATAGCTGTTTTAAAGCAGTAGCCAAGTCATGAATATGATAGTCAATCATCAACAGTTATTTTAAGGAATTCTGAATTCTGAATTAGATGAGAAACATTGTCTTTTTAATGTAGAGCTAGGTTACCTGTAGATTATATGATGCTTTATTAAGGGCAGATCTATCATTATTAAAAGGAAGGGGTCCAAAAAATCAAAATCCTCTCTCAGTCAGTTTTACTGCCTACAAGACACTACATTTGGTTTTTAAAATGGGGGGGGGGGGGGGGGGGGGAGGAGATGTCCTGGACCTCCAGGAAACCTCCTTCTGGATCCGCCTATGGCTTTATGGTACACCGGAACAGGTGAATTATTGCTGAAGCCTTTTTCTGTTTTTTCTACCCCTTGCTCCTAACCATATTGTCTAAGAAAATCCATAAAACAAAACTGTTTTGTGTCTAGCTCTATGTAATATGTGTGAAGTAAATACTATGACAAGGTATCAAGAAGGTTGTGTGTATAAAACATGTACGTGTGTGTGTGTGTTTGACATGTTAAGGAGATAACTGCAACAACATAACGAACAAAATGTGCTTGTTGTTTGCCCCTGTGTGGGTAATGGAGAAATATAGGGTAGGGCAACCCCTGCCTTACTTATATTGTTGACATAGCTGAAATAATGGGGCGCCCTTACACTGGTAGAACACTCAACGGAAGCAGACTCAGAATACACCACACTTACCTGTATAATGGAAGTAACAGGACCATTCATGCCTTGTGGCACTGTGAGAGTGGTGAATGAAGTGAGTGCATTAGGTGAATGAAGGGGTTAAGTGATACACCTGTTGGTACACCTTGTGATGGTGAATTGGGGTTACACCTGTTGGTACACCTTGTGATGGTGAATTGGGGTTACACCTGTTGGTACACCTTGTGATGGTGAATTGGGGTTACACCTGTTGGTACACCTTGTGATGGTGAATTGGGGTTACACCTGTTGGTACACCTTGTGATGGTGAATTGGGGTTACACCTGTTGGTACACCTTGTGATGGTGAATTGGGGTTACACCTGTTGGTACACCTTGTGATGGTGAATTGGGGTTACACCTGTTGGTACACCTTGTGATGGTGAATTGGGGTTACACCTGTTGGTACACCTTGTGATGGTGAATGAGGGTTACACCTGTTGGTACACCTTGTGATGGTGAATGAGGGTTACACCTGTTGGTACACCTTGTGATGGTGAATGAGGGTTACACCTGTTGGTACACCTTGTGATGGTGAATTGGGGTTACACCTGTTGGTACACCTTGTGATGGTGAATTGGGGTTACACCTGTTGGTACACCTTGTGATGGTGAATGAGGGTTACACCTGTTGGTACACCTTGTGATGGTGAATGAGGGTTACACCTGTTGGTACACCTTGTGATGGTGAATGAGGGTTACACCTGTTGGTACACCTTGTGATGGTGAATGAGGGTTACACCTGTTGGTACACCTTGTGATGGTGAATGAGGGTTACACCTGTTGGTACACCTTGTGATGGTGAATGAGGGTTACACCTGTTGGTACACCTTGTGATGGTGAATTGGGGTTACACCTGTTGGTACACCTTGTGATGGTGAATGAGGGTTACACCTGTTGGTACACCTTGTGATGGTGAATGAGGGTTACACCTGTTGGTACACCTTGTGATGGTGAATGAGGGTTACACCTGTTGGTACACCTTGTGATGGTGAATTGGGGTTACACCTGTTGGTACACCTTGTGATGGTGAATTGGGGTTACACCTGTTGGTACACCTTGTGATGGTGAATGAGGGTTACACCTGTTGGTACACCTTGTGATGGTGATTGAAGGGAAAGTGATACACCTGTTGGTACACCTTGTGATGGTGAATGAGGGTTACACCTGTTGGTACACCTTGTGATGGTGAATGAGGGTTACACCTGTTGGTACACCTTGTGATGGTGATTGAAGGGAAAGTGATACACCTGTTGGTACACCTTGTGTGTGTGTGTGGGGGGGGGGGTGGTTGATAAACCTGTGACCGTTGAAATGTTGCGTTGGATATGAGAGAACCATCCCACCTTTGACTTGTGTTTGGTCTGAGATCAACTGAGATCAAGTGTAGTCCCAGACATGTTGTGGCTGTCGAGGTAGAATAGGTCTTCAGCAACCCATGCTTTCCGTGAAAGGCGACTGTGCTTGTCATAAGAGGTGATTAACAGAATTGGGTGGTCAGGTTTGCTGACTTGGTTGATGCATGTCATTGTATATCCCAATTACATGGATCAATGCTCATGATATCAATCACTGGATTGTTTGGTCCAGACTTGATTATTTACAGACCGCCGTCATATAGCTGTAATATTGCTGAGTTAAACAACAAACAAATCAAACCAAATATTTCTGTGTGAAACCTTTCCTAATATTTGGTTACTGATTAGCTGTGCTAATTCCACGGACCTGGTTCTCCATCATCACAGACAACACTCACCCTCACTCACTCACTTTTCAGGAGTTACAGGAACCCTAACCAGGCTGAAATAATCACAGATTTCCCGCTTCCAAGAACCTCTGGGCGCCCCCAAACAGTGCCGATACGCCGACCACATGTTCCTCAGCCGTATTTCTTCCAATTTTATAATCAGACGAAGCTAATCTCCCCGAACGGTCCACTATTCAATAAAGGCGCCCCCGGGACCACAGAGGGTAAGTACACTCCACTGTCATCTTTAGGGGCTTTCAGCACAAGATTCTCAAGCTCTCATACAGATTTCTTTCAAAGGAGGGCTGCACTTAAACATAAATTCTAGCACAACTTGGTATACAATTTGCATTTGTTAGCCAAAATCAAGCAAGTATGGTTCCTTTAAAACCCCTATTACATCATAGCCATAAGTCCTGCATTTTGTCTGTCCTAACACTATAAAATTGCAAGAGTTTCAACAGATGCTCCTCTTCACTGCCAGCTCTCTTACAGTCTTGAGGGAGATAGTATTCTCCAGCCAACAGCATCTGCGCATGCGAGAAAACGTCATTTCTTTCCTGTGTGTGCTTAAGTAAACAAGGAACAACTTTTTCCAGTATATTTAGATCACAATCTGCTTGATCTTCACAAGGTTTTCACAGTTAATCCATTATATAATTACTAGTTATTGATCTGCTTTCTGAGGATTTTCTGAAGTAAATTGTTTGTGAATTTGGTACACAATGTATTTGTTAGCCAAAAATTAATGAAATAATTCATATTTTTGTTGAGTCACCCAATGATTCTGTTATAAATCTTTACACACCAACCTGATTAATATTCTTCAAAAAGGAAGGGTGCGCATTCCTGCGATAGACTAACATCTAGTCTCTGAAATGAACATATCGTACATAAAAAAACAGTTGTTCAGTTATCTTAATAAAAATATAATAAAAAGGAGCCCAGTGACTCTCTTCATTTTCAGATTCCTGATACTGCAGTGATCTAGACTTGCCAAACATTCTAGACTTGCATGGGCTGTATTTCATATAGATTTGTATCAGGGTCTGTAAGACAGACTAATTCCTGCGACTACTCTTGAATTAAGTATTAGTTCCATATATACTACCCTACTTGGGATAAGAATATTTTCATCTTTTCATGGTACTCAGAAATGATTCTCAGAACATGTCAGTGTATATTTAGATAGAGTGACATGTCTGATTATCCCTATCGAAAGTTGAGTAGTATATATTATCAAAATAAGATGTGTTAGCGATATTGTTTCCAGTGCATTGCCACACAATATTCTGGTGTTTCCCTCATGTCCAGGTAGTTTGAGCTTTACTCTCATTTACAAAAGGAAAGCTTAGTCATGTAAGGATTGACAGTGTATTTTTGGGGGTTCATTGAGGTATAAATTAAAAAAATGATGTGCAAACTGTATTTATCCGCGTAGCAGATTCTTACAAAAGTCAATGTCTGAGTGAGTGAGTGAGTGAGTGAGTGAGTGAGTGAGTGCTTTCTGCAGTCTTTGAGCTACTGGCAGCCTAACGTCTGACCGTTATTCTATCTACTGTATTATGAGGATTTAGAAGGGGTGGTGAGATCTATATTCAAGATAGCAAAAACAACTTGGCTCTTTCTTTCAACACATTAGAAGAGACAGGAATGTTAGGCATTTGGAAAATAAAAACAAAAGTTGAAACCATCCATTACTTTGTTATGAATGCAGTAAGCAAAACTATGTTTTTCCATTTTTTAGGGTGTGTACACTTAATAAATAATACATGAACCTGGCACCAGAAAAATATCAGTCCTTATGTGAATAGCTATCTTAATGCATTAACAGCAGACTTGGTCAATATTAAATATTCATGTCATAGTATACTCATACAGTTTGCATAAGCACTTAAATAAGAGGTTAATTAGCATAAGTAGGCTTACATTTAGAATGATTCAGATATGAAGATTTTAAAAATTTGACAAATTTAATGGAAATAGTTAATATTGTGTGCTTTCTACTCTTAATATGGGTTTGATAAGGTCATGTTTGAAGAGCAATGCTTCCTTTGATCCCTGTTTGATAGTGATTCTTAAACTCATTATTATATTATGTTATATTATATAGTCCAAATCTTGCAATGGACACTGCTTTTAGTAGAGATTTCTTATGATTATGGAAATGGAAATGGTTGCTGTTTATTTCCTGTAAAAGATTGCTTTTGTACAATTTAGATCATAGCACTGAATATTTGTAGTCACACAGTGCTACATGTGTAGAAAGAGTTGATTAAACCCTCTTAATTATTCTTCAAGCTTTATTTAATGTCATGACCGCAGAATTTATGAACAGTGGTTCCATTTTGACTCCATTAGGATGTAATCAATTACGTAATCATGTAATCAGTCAGAGGATGTAATGATTTTAGAATTATGAAATTGCATGTGATGATGTTTTCCTTAGAACTGACGCAAGTTTGTGAGGTATTTTGAGGAAAATGGCTTTGGATCCTGGAATGGAATTACTTAGTCCTGATTTACAGCATTGTTTATTGAGCAGACTTATCGTAATTATTTCACATTTCATTACACGCCTACTCATTTCCTGGAACATTAACAGAATGAAGGCTATGAGACCTTTTATCCCTCAGCTTGTAGTGTTGTCCTTTATTAAAGGAGGAAGACCAGAGTTGAGTTATTTTTCTGTTTTTCTTGAACAACCATATTGCCTAATTGTGTCATTTATCACCTCGGACTGTACATGGGTAAAGATATGTACCACTCTTAGGATGAGTACCAGCTTAGATAGATCCATCACGTCATTCAAAGAATAGATCCATGTATCAACAAATGTTCCATTGCGAAAACGGCCATCATCTCCCTTACAGAAAGCGAAACTTTAAAACAATATTGGATTTAAGATTCTGCTATCCCTTAAAAATTAAAAGAAATTAACGGTAGTCAAATGAAAAAAATGGTGTTCTTTAAGTTCTTTTGGGTTGTATATAACTGAAATATTGTTCAAAGTCTTGTTAAACGCAATTCACCCACTTCAACCGTGTGAAGCATCTACAAACATTGAGTCATATCACAACTTTAATTTGGACAAAGTATCAGCGAGGAAAAATATTAACGTTGTGTTTGTGAACATTCCATTCAGACCCAATTAGACACTGCAAGGAGAAGAATATTGGTTGTTGGGAATCCACACATGGAAACTTCAACGCCTTCATATTATCATTCAAGAAGGTCTTCATGACTGAACATGAAATTCTGTGCGGCCTCCCTGCTATGATCACGTCCACATGTAATGTGTGTTTGACAACATTCCGTAGCTCGCTGCCACACAAGGCTTCAGATCTTCAAAGATACCGAAGCTCACCATTGAGGTAATCAGTGGTCTTGAAGACATTACAGAGCACAGTGACCTTTCTGCAGGTCAGCATGCATGCAATGAGCTCCCCTGCACCATATTCTGTGCATGTGCGTAATGCACCTAGATGCATCAACACATCATGGTGTCGTATGTCTTTGAAGTGCTTGATAGCTGTGAGCATGATGTTAGTTCAGATCTCGCACAACAACTTGTAAATAGATGAGCAGCTTGTGCCTCAGAGTCTAGCATATACTGTTGTTGCACAAAAAGGTTCTCTCTGTGAATCGGTTCATGGTGAAAATCGTTTTATGTTATCCCTAGAAGTGTTTTGGTCAAAGGATAAGTTCTGATGCCAGTGAGTTGTTCCCATCCCACACTAAACCAACATCAGGGTTTTTCCTCAGTTCTGTACAGTTTTATCTGGTTTCAAGCAGGCTCCTTAAATTACAAATGTGACAGGCACATCTATGAAGCCATTCTTGATAGACTGGACTGGTTACTTGCTGTATTTGTGTTGCATCACCTTTAAATTATGAAGCGACAGATTCTCATCATCTATTCCTATGAATCTCTTGCATCACCTTTATAATATGAAAAGGCAGATTCTCTACAAGATCAGTTCCTATGAATCTGTTGTTAGCTCGCAGCCTTTTGAGAATAATGCCCAATATCTCTTCATCTGGAGAAATAATGGATGCCATCATTTAGGAATTATTGTCACGTATCACACAGAACTTGGAAACCTGATCCTTCACCTTCACCCACATCTAGGACTATACCTGTAATCAGAGGAATTAGGTTCAATAACCAGTTATCATTGGTTCTTCAAGTCGGACATGATTAAGAATTTATACTCCTCTGTAGGCCAGTGGTTATCTTCAGTAATAAGATGAGTTCTTATGGGTTAATGTATTGGAATGTCCTGAGTTTTTGTACTGCCATTTGTTTTATGGCACAGATCTAGATGAGTTTCATATCATTAGAGTTATGGTTTTGTTAACATGTTGGTCTAAATGTAGGGGGCGGTCAGGTAGTGGTTAAGGCATTCCATCGCTGAAGACCCGGCTTCGAATGTGAAGCCCATTTCTGGTGTCCCCTGCTGATATTGCTGGAATATTGCTAAAAGTGACGTAAAACAATACTCACTCACTCACTCTAAATGTTGGATTTTCAGAATTCTTAACTGGACCACTCACCAGATCATATTTGTTAAAAAAATCAGAAGATTTCTATTCTACACTTTTAAATATTGACAACTCAACAAGATTTAACTGATGCCCTTCCTCAGAACAAACTGTTTTGCCAGACTCCTGTAGACCTCTGTCTGATCAGCTGTCGAGACGACGCCCACACCTTGATTATCTCCCTTTGTTGTAGCAGCACTGGTCTTGAACATCATGAATGATCTCAGGAGCATGTATATTTTTTCAAGCACTTGTAATTCTTGAATGTCAGCATGCAAATATCACAGTGGGCCTGGTCCGCTCACCCATCTCGATTCTCCGGCTCCCATTTCCTGTCACAAACACACAGCTTTTGAAAACCCCACATCTGATATTACTCTCTCTCCCATTCCAGAAATGTGTATAGATTTCATGGGGGTCAGAGCAGGGGTGGGGGGTAGGATGTGGGGGTGGGACGTGGGTTTTTTGTGTGGGGGATGTGATGTGTCCTTCCTTAGATTGGCCTGTCAGTAGAGTAACACTTTGTACCTGGTGGTTGTGGGGGTTGAGTGCAACCAATCAAAGCTGTGTCATGTTTAGGAATAGTCTCGCTTTTTATGGTCAAATAGATGGGTTGTATCTACTTCATCAATTCGTATGGGACCGGCAGCGTTAGCACAGTGGATGTGGGAGTTTTGTTCAAAAGCTTTTGGATCATTCTTTGTTTCTACAGATGCATGTACTTGTCTGTTGAAAGAGAATACTTGTCAGTTGAAAGAGATTTTTTTTCATCCACAGCAAATCATCTTGGGAATTTTGTTTTTGTTTTCATGAAGCTATGTTATTTTACCCCATTTTCCAGGACTTCCAGAATCCCCCCCTCGCATCCTCCCCTGGGTTCGGGGCCATGATGTTTTGTATTATACATAATATACCACACTCACGTCCTATTTCCAGAATATTCTCAATTTTGATAAATTAAAAAATAAATATTGAACAATATTATTTACATATTTTTTTAATTTTATGCCACTTGTAATTACTTTGGTATATGTGTTTTACAGAAATATTTTATAATGACATGACCGATAATGAAGCTTTTTTTTTAACAGTAAAATATGTAAGAATTTCTATCTTTTTTTTTAATTTCATGTACATTCAGGTTTTATTTTACAAAATGACGTGATAAAAAAAAATTACCTCCACATTAAATATTAGTTTTATCATCATCTGTCTGACATCTGTTCACACAAGTCTCTCATGATACAGTTTTGATATTCTGATAGGAAGAGGCAAGAATAATGAAAATGACTTGCTTTCTTTGCCACCACTGTATCACTGGCAGTGATTATTGTAAAGCAATGGGGTGAACATTTCATGTTTCATTCCAGTGTCATTTATCTTTCTTGCATGTAAGATAATAATACGATCTGTGGCACCCATCCATCAAACATGTGATATCTAACCTGAAATAAATAGACAGACGACCTAAAGCAATTGTTCATCATGTTGGCTTTTATTCCGCTCATTTGGTGAGTGAGTGAGTTTGGTTTATGCTGCTCTGAATAGTATTCTGGTTGTCATGGCGTGACAGCTACACATGGGAGGTGGCCCAATGACTCCGGTAATGGATGTTTTCCTCTTTGGTGAACTTCAGTATGAGAATGCAAAACTGGAATTCAAACAAGAAATCAGCTGATCCTGGCATTGCTAAGGGATGTAACTCTTCCCTAACCTGCCCCCATCAACCTGACCCATTTAGTCTGTCCCCTCTAACATGAGCCCCCTCTAACCTGACTCCCTCTAATCTGACCCTTCTAACCTGACACCCTCTAACCTGGCCCCCTCAAACCTGGCCCCCTCTAACCTGACCCCTCTAACCTGACGCCTCTAACCTGACCCCCTCTAACCTGGCCTCCTCAAACCTGACCCCCTCTAACCTGACCCCCTCTAACCTGACACCCTCTAACCTGAAACCCTCTAACCTGACACCCTCTAACCTGACCCCCTCTAACCTGACACCCTCTAACCTGACCCCTCAAACCTGACACCCTCTAACCTGACCCCCTCTAACCTGGCCCCCTCTAACCTGGCCTCCTCAAACCTGGCCCCATCTAACCTGGCCCCCTCAAACCTGACGCCTCTAACCTGACCCCCTCAAACCTGGCCCCCTCAAACCTGACCCCCTCTAACCTGGCCCCCTCAAACCTGGCCCCCTCAAACCTGACCCCCTCAAACCTGACGCCTCTAACCTGACCCCCTCAAACCTGGCCCCCTCAAACCTGACCCCCTCTAACCTGAGCCCCCTCAAACCTGGCCCCATCTAACCTGGCCCCCTCAAACCTGGCCCCATCTAACCTGACCCCTCTAAACTGACCCCTCTAACCTGGCCCCCTCTAACCTGACCCCTTCAAACCTGACCCCCTCAAACCTGACCCCTTTAACCTCGCCCACTCTAACCTGACCCCTCTAACCTGACCCCTCTAACCTGACCCCCTCTAACCTGAGCCCCCTCAAACCTGACCCCCTCTAACCTGACCCCTCTAACCTGACCCCCTCTAACCCTAGCCCCCTCAAACTTGGCCCCCTCTAACCTGACCCCCTCAAACCTGGCCCCCTCAAACCTGACCCCTCTAACCTGACCCCTCTAACCTGGCCCCCTCTAATCTGACCCCCTCAAACCTGGCCCCCTCAAACCTGGCCCCCTCTAATCTGACCCCTTCAAACCTGACCTCCTCTAACCTGACCCCCTCTAACCTGACCCCCTATAACCTGACCCCCTCTAACCTGACCTACCCTCTAACCTGACCCCTTCTAACCTGCCCCCCTCTAACCTGACCCCTCCAAACCTGACCCCCTCAAACCTGACCCCTTTAACCTTGCCCACTCTAACCTGACCCCTCTAACCTGACCCCTCTAACCTGACCCCTTTAACCTGACCCCCTCTAAACTGGCCCCCTCTAACCTGACCCACTCAAACCTGACCCCCCTCTAACCTTTCTTTCTAACCTCACCTCCCATTATTGCCCTCCTGAACTCACCCTCCATGGAAATGTTTCTTTAGAGGTACCGTGCTGTTAAATTCAATGACATGCTCTAACAGCTCTTTCTCCATCATGTTTATTATACACCGGTATGGAGACTATTGGTTTCTCTCTCCTTGTTCCAGGTCATATTTGACAAATATTCATTCTAATGCAGCCTATCGCAATGATTGCTCTTAAAATAGAAAACCTAAATTAGATCTTTACTCCAGTTGGAAGGTTTTATCAGTTTCTCTTACAATCTCTCAAGTATGAGAATAACTGATTGTTGAGAGAGCGAGGTGTATGAACAGAATAGTTCCTCGGTTCCCCTGAGAACCTCCATCAAAGAGTAACATGTTTCTAATTTAGGTTTACTCTGATTTGGTTGATAGTAGTTGTTTGGAGACTACTTGTAATAATTGTTTGATTTTGACGGCAACTTTAAGCTGATTCTGTTGACCGAACCCAGTGCTAATTACAGGGGTACTTAGTGGTTTAATTAGAGCCCATTCCTCTGTTAACTTTAGTCTTGAGACAAGGCCTTCATATCAGTGGAGCAGTCAGATTTGATGAATTATTGTTTCTATAAGTAGCCAGTCTAGTTGTCAGCCTCTTCGTCCTGATTGTGTGCCAGATATTGATTGCTGCTCAAATTGCCAAAGTGGACAGCAAGGTGGTGCTCTGTGGCTGCTCCAAGGTCGGTATTTGGCCATCTACTCATGTTGGTAGCCTGGAGAGGCAAATTCGGTCCTAATTACCCGGGTTTACCCATGCATAAGATCGGCTCCTCTTGGAATCGGTGGTGGACAACCTGTTCTTCCATGTACAGAACCACCTCAGGGTCATGAATAGTGACCACAGACGTTTCTGTATTGAACATCTACTGGGGTGAAAATGACCTTGAGGCTAAATTTAGGGCGTTGGTTTCTCATCAAAGAACTGCAATGTTTCATAAACTCTTCCAGTGTTCTTAATAAGATTAGAATCTTTATTATGAATAAAAAAAATTATTTATGTCACTGGCCTGTGAACCAAACACAGTTTAGTGCAATTTCTTGTGTGTTGTGTTCCTTAGTTGGACAGATCACATGGATTTCACACAGATCACCAGGATAGTGTGTCAGTTCGCATGACAAAGCGACTTTATGTTGTATGGTATCATCTTTCGATGTTAAATGGTTCACAAACATATTAAAGTTGACATTTCGATGAGTATATTGTTCAGATACTATCTTAGGTATTTGGGTCAAACAAGAAATGACATTCATCTCCTATTTATGATGTACATGCATGGCAAGTTATCACGTTAGATTTGTTTGGAACGACAGTTTCCTTGCTGTAGTTGGCATTAGCTTGCATAGTAAAAAAAATAAGTATCATTTCCTTTCACATTTTTTCGGCTCTAACAAGGTTTGAAAGTTCTTACCCCATCATATTTAGAACTTGTGTGTAGTGTTGATGTCCAACCTTCATAAGAAACATTTATCAATCTTTCAGGAAATTTAATCTAAAAATAATTAAAATTGTGTAATTTAGACAACCATGCAGAATATACAATGTTGTCTGATGTTTCTCTTCAGGTTTCATTAG